TCTCCAGGGCATCTTCCGGACCCAGGGATCAAACCTGTGTCTCCTGCATTGGCAGGTGCATTCTTTGCCACTGAGCCACCTGGGAAGTCCAAACAAAGCATAGTCGTCTCCCAAGACAGAAACACAATGGTTTTAGGGGCAAAAGGGAACTTTTATTTTTCCCCCTCTAAACTTGTGCAATTTTTTTTTGCAATGAGAATGCAGTTATTATTTTAATTTAAAAACCATAAATATGGTCCAATTGCAAAACATAAACCAAGTCACTCCCACTGTGTTCTTCATAGAAATTTACATAAGGGGTTCTCAAGAGGCCCCTCAAGTGGTATCTCCCAGCAGATACCACTTTCTCTTGGCACTGGAGACAGGGCTGATAGCACAGAGTCCTCATTCAATGCCAAGAAGACCGTTTAAACAAATAAATCCAAAGATCTCTCACACACACACACCCAAAGAAGGAACATCAGTTATTTTCTCACCATCAGAACCCATACATTCAGCACAGCAAATGGTATCAGTTTCTTTAATAAGGCTTTCTCTGTAAAGGGGAAAACACGGTGTTTTTCCTGGGAATTTCATTTAACTTGATTCATTCAAAGTCGACAGAGACCACACAAGCTATGAGGCATGTCATAACGATCCTCGAGGAGTTTGTTCCAAATCCAGAGTCGGCAAGCTTTCTCTGGAAAGGGCCCAAGTGTAAATATTGTTGGGAGCCACGCGATCGCAACCGTTCAACTCTGCCCTTAGAGCACAAAAGCAGCCATAGAGGATGCGTGAACCAATGGGCATGGCGGCATGCCAATAAAACTTTATTTACAAAAACAGGCGTGGGCGGGCAGGGTTTGACCCCTGTTCTAAAGACTTTGACCACATATAAATTAAAAAGTGAGCGTGAGAGAGAGAGTCAGAGTAGGGAATGGCCCTCGATGAAGACTAAAGATAATAACAGCCCGGAAAAGGAGCAGAGGAAAAGAAGAGAGAGGATGGGAGGAGCCAGGTTCAGGCGAAAACTCTTCAGGAGAGGGGAGGCAAAACCCAGATAAGTCAACTAGGGTGAGGCTGCCATTGAGAGGTGAGGAAGGACTTTTGCTAGCACCATGGGCGAAGCAATGGAGACACAAGCCAGATGCTGTGGGTAGAGCAGTGGGTGAAAGGTGAGAGAGCAAGGGTGATGAGTGCCCATCAGCGGTTGGGGGAGGCTTGATGAGGAAGGCAAAAGGTGGGTGGTGGGTAGCGGGGCCCTGGGAAGTACTGAGTGTCTATAGGCTGAAAAGAAAAGGCTCCTGGGCGGATGGAGATCCCTGAACAGAGGGGAGAGAGGAGGGGACCTAAGTGGATAAGTGTCCTGCATACTAAGTCACTTCAGTCGTGTCTGGCTGTTTATGACCCCATCAACTGCAGCTTGCCAGCATCTTCTGTCCATGGGATTTCCAGGCAAGCATACTGGAGCAGGTTGCCATGCCTTTCTCCAGGGGATCTTCCTGACCCAAGGATTGAACCCACATCTCATATGTGTCTCCTGCATTGGCAGGTAGGTTATTTACCACTAGCACCAAAAAGCAGTGGTTCTCAACTCCGAGGACAGTTGGTGGTGTCTGGAGACACTTTTTGGTGGTCATGACTTGGAGAGGGGCATTGCTACAGGTCAGAGACCACGGACAGTGTGCAACATCTTGAGATACACAAGACAGCCCCCTGCAACCAAGAGCTATCCATCCTCATAGATCAAGAGCACGGAAATAGAGAAGGTCTATTCCAGCCAAAAAATAAAGGATGTCAATGAGGAAGTGGAGTGAGGTGGGGGCCCTCAGGGTGAGGCTCGCCCCCAGTGACCTCTATGAATGAGCAGGGCAGGGTCGAGGGTCAGGTCATCAGGAGGGAAGCAAAGACTAGGAAGAACCTCATAGAACCGACCCAGAGAGCAGAAGTTCTGCTCTGAGGGTCCCAGAGTGCACCAGAAAATCCACACGAGAAACACCAGATTCTACCCTCGAGAGGTAACGGGGATCCAAAAGCAACATCTAGCACCTCAACTCATCAATTCACTGCCCCCGCCAAGATTCGGTTTCCACTATAATTAATCCCACTTTGCCTTCATTCTCTGACTTCACAGTGCTCCTGGGTCATCTCGGGCCAGAGTGGGTCAACCCAAGGAGACATGGGAGGGAAAACCACTGCCCAGTTCAGCCAAGCCACAGAGACTCCACAGGGGGGATGAAGTGGGCTGGCACATCCCACGTGACGTCGAGGATAGAGTCCTCAGTCCTTCAAAATTCCACTGATCTCCCTTGACCGCACTCCCACCCCAGACAGAATGCCACACTGCTTGCTGCTGGAGATTAACCAATGATCCGGAAAGTTCCTCGCCCCTCCCCAAACCTCCGAAGAGCATCACATGTCATTTATTTGAGAGTATTTTGTTAACCTTTATACCACAGGAGTTGGGGCGGGGAGGCTCAGAGTCCCAAGAAGAACCTTCTGTTAAGAAACGTTTTATTAACAAACTGGGGTTCTCATCTCAGCACTGCCACCTCATCCAAGTTCCTCACCTTCGAAATGGATAATAAACCTTGCCTCAGAGTGCTGTGGTGAGCATTAATCGAGATTATCAATGCAAAGTGTGTAGAATAGCACCTGCGGAGACTTTGCTTATATTTGTGTCAGTTAGGTTTTATCTGGAGAATAAAGGAGACGTGACTTGGACTCCTACGAACAGGAAGGATAGGAGTTGAATCTAGAACAAATATTTAGGACTTCCCTGGTGGTCCAAGGGTGACGAATCCGCCTGCCAATGCTGAGGACAGGGGTTCGACCTCTGGTGTGGGAAGATCCCATGTGCTGCGGAGCAGCTAAGCCCGAGTGCCACGGCTATTGAGCCTGTGCTCTAGGGCCAGGGAGCCACAGGTATTGAGCACACCTGCCACAACTACTGAAGCCCACGTGCCCTAGAGCCCAGGCTCCCCAATGAGAGAAGCCACCGGAATGAGAAGCCCGTGCACAGCAACTAGAGAGTAGCCTCGATCATCACACCTAGAGAAAAGCCCAGCACAGCAATGAAGACCCAGCACAGTCAAAATAAATAAATTTATCAAACATCTACTAGGTGTCAGGGACTGCTCTAGGCTCTGGAACTCTGGCAGTCAACAAGAGAAACTTAAGCCTCTCCCTCGTGGAAACTATATACATGTAAGAAGTGGTAAATCCATCCACTGACCCCTGAAAGTGAAAGTCGTTCAGTCGTATCAGACTCTTTGGGACCCCATGGACTGTAGCCCACCAGGCTCCTCTGTCCATGAGATTCTCCAGGCAAGAACACTGGAGTGGACAGCCATTCCCCTCTCCAGGGGATCTTCCCGATCCAGGGATCAAACCCAGGTTCCTCCAGGCAGATTCTTTACCATCTGAGCCACCAGGAAAGCCAGCCCAGGCACAAATCCACCATTAATTACTAAGCTACCAGGAACAGAGGAGCAAGGAACCACACACATATACAGGTGTGCACGTACACACAGACACACATGCGCATGGGCATGCAAAGCCTGATACAGATCTAACAGCTGGTCTGGGTTTTTGTCTTTTTTTAAACAGCCTAAATCCACTGCTATCGTTCCTTGGAGGAGCACCCACTGTATACCAGGCACTCGGGCGCTTGGAGACCTTGCCTAATTGGCAGAGGTGCTCCACAAAACCCGGTTTGTCAACTCCAGAGCCCCCACGTGCTTTCTCGTGCATCCCCACTCACCTACAGGCAACTCAGGAACTTCTGCTCCTTCCCTGCCTGACCCCTTCCTCATCGGGACTGATTTCCTTTTATGGAGAAATCTGAAGAAGTAACCCAACACATATTTTGAAAGCAGGGCCTCCGCCATCATGGTGGGAAACCCCAGTTATATTCTCTTCAAGGATTTTCCATCCTTGACCTGCAGCCAGAAAGACCTGCTGTCAAGCCCAAGGAAAATGCTGGGACTTGCCCCCTCTCCCCAGCCCAGGGAGCTGCTAGCCCAGGGACACTCATGAGGGAGACTTGAGAAGGGAGGTGGGGTGCTGGGCTGACCCCAGGTTACAGACCTGCCCAGCCGACAGGTAAAGGGGTGGAGGCGGGAGGTTACCAGGGGTTCCTGGGGCGTGGGCAGCTGGCAGAGCCCTGGGCCCTGGCACCACCAGAGAGGTTTGTCTTCTCTCTAGCTCTGATTCTGGGGCAAGTGAATTCTGTGTCCTTCCTGAGCCTCAGTTTACGCCTCTGTGAAATGGCCCAACAACAGTATCGGCCTCCACGGGCTGCGGCAGAGATCCAGAGAGATAAGACGGGCCAGCCAAAGGCATCTGGTAACGCTAGCTATAATAATCATAAAAGCCGACACTACTGCTACTACAGCTAGCTGCACTGTTGCCAAGGGCTAGAGCTTGCCTCCGACATCTGGAAACAGAATTCCAGAGTATAAACATGGAACTGCAGTCAGGGGTAGCCGTGGGTCTAGATACCAGAAAGAAAGGGGCGGGTTCTACAATTCCTCGCCCCCTGGGGTAGCGTCACCAAGCTGCTGGGATCCCAAGGGACCACCCTGCCTTCGTTAGTCACTCCAAACCGTCTGTGCCCGGGGCATCTGGCTGTACGAGAGTGTCCGATGACCCCACTTCTCGGAGGCGACCCAGAGAGGACGCGTGTCCCGTCTCTGGAGCCAGGTGGTGGGCTCGGAGAGGCCCAGACACGGGGGTTTGAGGAGCGCTCTCGGGAGAGGCGCCCGCGGAGGGGCGGGCACTAGGGCAAGGTTCCTCCAGCCCGGGGCCCGCTTGCGGGTCGTGGAGCCTCGAGCCCAGGCGGGCAAAGGCCAAGGTCAGCGGCTTCCCGCCCCCCGCGAGGCCGGAGAAACCGTCCCGGCCACCCGCCCTCCGACGGAGGACGGCACTCCGTCCACAACGGGGGGGTGGTTCCATTTTGGCAAAGGGTCCCTCCCCACCCGCGCGGCTTCCCGCCCACCTAGGGACCCCCCCAGACTCACCCTCTCCAGGGTACAGGTGGCCCGCGGCGCCCACCAGCAGCGCGGCGACGACCACCATCAGCAGCACCGCTGCCGCCCCCCGCCGGCCCCCGGCGCCCATGGCTGCGGGAGCACGGGGTGCCGAAGGATCAGAGCGCGAGGCGCTGGCCGGCGGGGTGCATGCTCCGAAGCGGCCGCCCCAGAGGCGCTGGGGGTCGCGCGTCCTTCTCTTCCACGCGGGCCGCCCAAGGTCCCGCAGCCTGCGCCCGGGAGGGCTCTAGAAACGGCTCCGGGAGGGGCGCGCGGCCTCCGCCGCTACGAATCCGGCAGTGCGGCCGGGTGGAGACGGTCCCGACTCCGGGCCCCCGCGGCCCGGGCCCCCGTCCCGAAGATCTTAGGGCCCAGAGCCCCGCGCTGCGTCCCCCTGACTCTAGGCTCTTGGCCCCGAGCGCTCCGGAGCTCCGATCTTCGGACGCGCGGACAAACGGACGTGCGGACAGGCGGGCGGGCACCTGGGCTGGCGGGTGGCGGGCGGGCGGCGGGAGCCAGGGCTGCTCGGCCCGTAAACAACGCGGCCCGTCAGCTGGGCCCCGTTCGGGCCGCGGGAAAAGGCGGCGCGGATCTGGGCTCGGAAGGGACTCGGCGCCCGGCAGAGGCCCGAGAGGGGTGGAAGGAGGACGGGCAGGGGGGAGGCACCGCCCCGCCCGCCCGCCCGCCAGTCTCCCTATCCTGGGCCCCGCGCTGAAGGCCCCCGTCGCGCCATAGCCGAGGGGGCGCCCCAGATCCCTGCCCAGCCCCAGTGCCCCGTACAGCCCCAGGGCTCCTGTCTCAGAGCCCGGGAGCGCCCCAGATTGACCAACTCAGCAAGTCGGATCCCGTGTTTAAAACATTTTGCTAGTTTGTTCTTCGTGGGACTTTGGAAAATTCATTTTTTTAAATATTGCATTAAAATATTGTTTATCGTAGTTACTCGGCTTTTTGGTACTCCCTTAAGTGTCGCGTTCACCTCCCCCTCGTCACAGTCTGGCCAGTGAGTATGGCCCTCGAGCGCCCCAGATGTCCTACCCCAGAGTGTGCCCCCGCCCAGAGCCAGGCCCCTGGGGACAGCCACGTGCACGCGCGTGCCGCGTGTGCTCAAGTATTCGGTAGCCTGAGCCCCTCCCGCACGATGCGTGGTTCAAGGTGGAGAAATGACCCCTTGGAGAAAGTGTAGAAACTCTCAAAAAGAAAGAAAAAAAAGTGCAAACCAGACGCTGGAGATCTTGGGTGGGACACAGGTGGACACACCCAATTTTTAATACGCAGACCAGAGTCCATGTGTGTTTGAATGTCGGTCACACGACTGCGGCCACCCCACCTTGCTGAAGAGGGGCGTTAAGTACAGAAAAGCCAGAACCGAGCGAGAATCTGGTCCCTCCACTTAAGACTTCCTGTGCGGCCTCTCTCTGGATGGGCTTCATCTGTATGATGCATGTAAGGATACCTACAGGTCAGATTTGGTGAGTTGTAAGGGCTTCCCAGGTGGCTCAGTGCTAAAGAATTTGCCCACCAATGCAGGAGACGCAGGTTCGATCCCTGGGTCAGGAAGATCCCCTGGAGGAGGAAATGGCAACCCACTCCAGTATTCTTGCCTGGGATACCCCATGGATAGAGGAGCCTGGCAAGCTACAGTCCATGGAGTCGCAAAGAGTTTGACATGACTGAGCCGGTGTGCGTACACAGACACACACACACACACACACACGATTGAGCACGCATGCGCATGCACACACACAGTCTCACAGGGGAAATAAAGCATGACAAAGCACTCAGCACAACGGTCGGCTGAGGGCATTCATTCTTTCTTTCATCTATTAAACAAATATTAGTTTGCCAGTAGCTGGGCCCACTGTTCTTCTAACTCAAATCTATTCCTGCCTCCCTGTCCCTGTGTCTGGCTCCACTTGCTGTTCCAATGAGCCTTCCCTGACCACACTTTGCAAACACTCCCTCTCCCTTCCTCCATTTGCTCCTGTTCCAGACAACACACTGGTGTCTTGAAATTCTGACTTATTGTGTGTATTCACCCCTTCCCAGGAAGGCAGAAATCTTGTCCATCATGTTCAGTATTTTACACCCAGTGACTGACATATCCATTGCTTAATAAATATTTGTTGAGTGGAAAAATCAACATGCAGTAAGCAGTGGGGATTTGCAGGGAGCCAAATAAATACCATTCATTTCCTTGTAGACCTCACAACCCAGCGTGGGGAGAAAGCCATTAAGTTACACATCAGATGTTTTATAAGGTGGGGTGGGGAGAGGCAGAAGGACTTGCCAAAGAGGTGATTTTGAACTGAAATCTGAGGAGGCAGAGCCAGCCCAGGGAAGCATCAAGAAAGTGTTCCAGGTGGAGGGAACAGCATGTGCAAAGGCCCAGAGGACAGACCAGGGTCCTCACAGCTGAGCCAGGCACTGTAGCTGGAGCAAAGAAAGAAAAGAGGGAGGCTGGGCTGGTAGGCAAGACTAGAAGGGATATACCATGCAAGGGTTGTTTTCAACACACCCTTTATCCTAAAAGCAACAGGGACGCATTAAAGGGTTTACACCAAAGGGTCGGGCTCCACTGGTGGCTCAGACAGTAAAGAATCTGCCTGCAATGCAGGAGACCCAGGTCGGATCCCCGGGTCAGGAAGATCCCCTGGAGAAGGGAATGGCTACCCACTCCAGTATTCTTGCCTGGAAAATCCAATGGACAGAGGAGGCAGGCGTGCTACAGTCCATGGGGTCGCAAAGAATTGGACACAACTGAGCGACTGAACTGAACTGATTGAAAAGCCACCAACAATTTCAGGCAGGTGGCATTTGCTAAAATTCCAAGGGACATACTGCCCTCTGGAAATCCTTCAGGATGCAAGACCTCCACATAAAGTTAGGTATAAATTCAGAAGAATCATTATAGTTGTGACTTATTGGGAGAAAATGAAGACACTTTCACTTCCAGGAAAAAAAACAAAACTCATTATTTCTTCTATAAGCTACCTCCTCCCCCCGAAAAAAATACCAGGATGTAAAAAATGAAAGTCAACCTCTGCCTTTTCTTAAAAGCATTGGAGTGGAAGTAGAAAAATCACCACTTGCTAATCTCCAAAATAATTGATTCTGGCAAGAGCCATCAATGAACGCTAAAAGTGATGGTTGGAAGCTTGAAAAGTAATGGGGTATTTCCATGGTCTGCAAGTATCTCTCTGCAGCATGCTTGTCCAAAAAAAAGAAAAATGGTAGCTTCATGGAAGAAAAACCTGGCTTAACAAAATGATCAAAATTACTCCTGGATTTTCTTCTGTAATAAAATAAATTATTGGGACAGTTGGGGAAGATTGAAAAGAGTCTATCAGTTCCACAGTGATACTGTATCAATATTAATTTTGATCCTTTTACTGAAGTGATGTAACAGAATGTCCTTGGCTTTAGGTAATAAACATCAAGTGAAGTATGTAGGGGTTAAGGAACGTAATATCTGCAACTTACTCTCAAATGGTTCAGAAAAAAAAAGAAAGAGACAGAAAGAACAAAGTAGGTGTGATTTTTAAAAGTGTGATAAAATTGGTAAATCTGATAAAAATGTGTATGTAAGGACTAATTGCACTATTTGTGCAACTTTTCTGGACGTCTCTGCAAGTGTGTACTGAGTTGCTCAGTCGTGGTCTGACTCTTTGTGACCCCGTGAACTCTAGCCCACCAGGCTCCTCAGTCCATTGGATTTTCCAGGCAAGCATACTGGAGTGGGTTGCCGTTCCTTCCTCCAGGGGATCTTCCCAACCCAGGGATCCAACCCACATCTCCTAAGTCTCCTGCATTGGCAGGCAGATTCTTTACCACTGAGGAAGTCTGACATCATGTCAAAATTATTAATAAAAGCTTTAATAGTTTTGAAAAACCACTTGGGACTTTCGTTTGGCTTTGTTTATCTTAGGTTGGCTTTGGTCTGACATTTAAACACATACCATACTTGAAGACATGATGGAAAGAGAGAGATCATTTCACGGTTCCTGAGTATAAACACCGAATGCTGTACTTTTGTTACGCATTGAGGAGGGCTTGGAGAGATACCACCACCACCTTGCTGGGTCTTCCTTTAGCAAGTCCCTCTGGGACAATCTCCCTCAACCTTGCGTTATGTTATGTTAAAGTTTTCCGTTATGTTAAAGCAGGAAGCCCAGTGTAAATCCTGACTCCTGTGTTGTCATGGAAACCTGCTTTAATAGAGTACATTTAGGAGTAGAGGGGGAAATTACAGATGGATCTGCCTTGCGGGTAGCAGTGCAAAAACCCAGCAGCGAGAATTTACTAACAGAACCAGGCAGAAGCTTGCATAAACATGACACCCACACCAGGATCAAGTGGAACTTGGGCCAGGAGGGCAAAGATGGTTCAACACTAGGAAGTCTAGTCATCAAGATCACCGTTTTCATAGATTTAGGGTACATGAGCATCTCTATGCCACTAAAAATGTATTTTATGAAACTTCCCTGGTGGTTCAGTAGCTAAGACTCCACGGTCCCAATGTAGGGAGACCAGGTTCAATGCCTATTCAGGGAACTAGATGCCACATGACACAGCTAAAGATCCTGCATGCTGCAACAAAGATCAAAGATCCAGAGTGCTGCAACTAAGACCTGGTGCAGCCAAACAAATAAATAAATATTTTTAGATGTATTTGATGAATTCCATAGCTGCTCAAAAAAGAAAGCATAAGACTCTGCAATATGGAAATTTTGTTTTATAATTGCAAAGTAGGGAACATTTCTTCAAGCAAGATGCAAATCTAAAATCTAAAAATACCAAATCTGGCTATGTAAACATTGAGTTACATGAATAGTGAAATAAAATCCTGCGTAAAACTGAACGTCAGATTTTTAAAAGTGAGAAAAACATATGCAACTTAAGTGACAGATAAAGGGCATGCATTGTGGCATGTTACATAATGTATAATACATAATACTAATTTTTTCAGTGAGAAAAAAAAGTCCAAACTTTTATTTGCCAAAATAAAAATGGCAAAGGACATGAATAGGCACAAAGACAGACCACTGAGAAGAAAAGAGAAAAAAAAAGATGGAACACAAAAAATATTGAAAT